GGTCAGACAGAGCAGAACCATTTCCCATGGTTTCCCAGGCGACCCTCTTTACGAGAGCATGAGCTGCTGGTGGGTTTGGACCACCATCTTTCAGGTCATGGCTGATTGCTTCAAGGGCTACACAGACTTTCTGAAGACCCCTTGTATATTCATATAGAAGGAGAGAATGACTGCAATGCTTTTTTTTTCTTCTTAAATTACAAAAGGAGCTGCTTGGAATACGCTACATATTCAATGATAGGCATAACTTCTGTATATGTAATATATATGGTGCAAATATGCCTGAATATAGAAGGTTCCTCTATGTAGACCACTTCCATTTATTCTAGACATAGGAAAGAACAATGAATCTTCCCATCGTATGAGATACAATGAACTAACTTCAAGCAGAACACTCATTTCACACAGGTAACAAATTACCCACCCTTCATTTCTTTTCTTACTGAATGCTGACCACAGAAATGTAACCTGTACTCGTTACAGGGAGCCACGCCAAAGAGCAGAGGAAAGTCTGGCTAAAATAATGTTCTCTTCTCTCCTCAGAAGGGAACATGGCAGCAGTGGGGACCCAGCATAAGGCTCACTACTGAGCCCTGTGGAAGTCAGTTCCCCTACAACCAAAGAAACTGTAGTCCCTTATGAAGCCTGCTGAGAAGACCAAAGGGAAAAGGCATTCCACTTGTTAAATGTTTATGATTTGAGCTTAGCAGCCAACTATAACAAGAGAGCGAGGAAGCTGTCTGCAAGCTGCATACGGATTTAGCGACTCAAATTCCAGGCCTGTGAAAAAGAACATTGAGGTGAAACTGTTATAATTTACTAGGCGGTAGTTTAAGGGAGGTGGTAGGTGGCAATATAAGCTTGGAGTCATTCACATTTGGGTCAGTGATTCAAAAGCACCTCAAGTCAACCCAGAGCAAAAATAATCCACTCTGACACAAGGGTGCCTTCCTTTTACCCAAGAATCACAGTGTACCAGAGGACAGGTTCAGATCGCTTCTCAGCTACAAATCCTCTCACCTTGATTAGGGAATAAACATTTTCAGTTTTCCTCAGAGTAAAGTACATGACTCATTTATTGGATGTCAATGCGTGCAATGAAGCTGAACATGTCCTTCCCTGACCCTACGATTCCACGGGGCGTCTTCTCACGGGACCTCAATGACTCCCCAAGCCGCACTTGCAGTCTACAGTTCAGTCTCTCAGCGGACTGGGCTTGGCATTCCATTCACTACAACGGCGATGTGCGGTCATAGGTTTAATTGACATCTACACGCACATGCTTTCTACTTCCGTAAGCTATTGACTATAATAGCACTAAATCAAAAGGGTGAAATTCGTGAAAAAGATTGGCATAGCCATCACAAAGATGAATTACTTCTATATGAAAAGATAATGATCTATGGTAAATGTACTACTTCCCTAATTATCAGGTTAGGTATTGAGCAGACTGAAATAAATTAATAAATTGTGGGAGGGGCACCCTTTGGGCACAAACTAATCCTTTAACCCTTGAAAACAACAGGTATAAAGAGAATGAGGCGTAAGGCCAAAAGTTTTCGCTTCCGTGTAAATAAGAACACCCAGAGAACAAGGCCTGACCTCTGAGGTTTTGTGGTCCAAAGACCAGGTCTAGTGCTCTTTCTCCTCTTGGTCAAAGGCATCCTGCTCTCTGAGCCCTCGTTTTCAGCTCCAACATGGATCAGAATAGATCCTACTTCTTTCACGAGGATCAAGAGGTTTTGATATATTATGCATTGAATTAAAAGTAAGTTGGTATGAAATATGACCGATAATACAATTTAATAAACCATCTTTTAAGAAATAATAAGCCAAACCAAATACACTGCCGATGAGTTGATTCTGACTTATCTCAACTGCCAGTGCGTCCATTCGGACTCCCGGAAATCCTGCAGACAGGAGAGAACTTCCCCTGTAGATTCCCAAGGCTGTAAATCGTTACCAAGGAGGAAATCAGATATGTTTTCTTCCTTAAAAATTACTAAAACATCCCGTACTGTCCTGCCACCAAGAACCTCCCACTTGGCTCATCTTTTCATCCCTACTACCACCTGTTGACTCCGCGTCATCAGCACTAACGTAGGATCTTCTATAATAAACGAGTCTCTCAATACCTGTTCGCTGTGGATTTCTTCCAGTTGACTTTTTTAATGCCCAAATTCACATAGGATTCTGTGAGTTCTACATTCAACTCTCCTTCTGAGTCACTCGGCAGTATTCCTAGTTTGGCAGCAGATTCATAGAGACAAATTTCGTTTTTCAGTTGGATCAATTCTTCCTAAAACACAAGAATATTGAAAATTACCTTGCTGTTTCTATAGATCAAGGAACCAGTTGGTCTATCCATGCTTCAAAACGTGTTTGAATGATTGATAGGAGGCGGAAGCACTTCTTTAAATATACTACTGGCACACGTTGTAATGTACTTGTAATTCTCCAGGATGAACTATAACCGTGTGTGTGGTATACGCTCTCCACCAAAGCCACTGGGTTGCATTAATCGGTATATGGGGCTAGTGTAGAACCAACTGTAGCGCGTGGACCGGAGGAGGCAAACGCCCACACAAAAAGATAAGCTAACTTGGTAAAAGCAGCAAACCTTACTCTAATTAGCCAGAGTGCCCCAGGAGCCCGGGTAGACGAATAGCTCTGAGCAAGTTCATCACAGAGGACAGATTTAAGGATCAAAAAGATTGCAACTAAACTGCATTTACATTTTTTACTCATTTTCTATTTCTGCACCTAGACACAGCAACCAGTGGTCAGCATGTTAATAACTTTTTGAGTAAACTGAAGTAATTACCCAACAAACAAGCAAATTTGAATAGTTGCCCTGACATCTCCCTCTCTTACATGTTGTCCTCCATAAAATGCACCCATTGAGATGAGATACTGACGGCAGGACTACCAGAGGGCAGAGTGGACTGGTATGCCAAAAATATGTTGTACTTCATTCTGCCAGTGGTGAAAGGGCAGGCGACCTCTTTCCAGTAACAGAGGATGCAGCACAAAAGAATGATGCCACTCTGCCCAATGGAATGCTTCTCAGTCTTGTGGAGAAGATGCTGGCTGGGACCCTCGCCTAGATGAAAAGAACCTGGCATAAAGAGGAGAGGCAGGGCTCTGCGGTTAGAGACCCGGGCTGGGCTACCTGCTCTGTGGGGGAAACAGAAACCCGAGGTCCAGAGAGGTGACTAGTTACCCAGAGAAGTCTCTTCCCAGAGACAGCACTTACCTGGAGAGCCCGGCTCATGTTTTCGCTCAGAGTATATGCCTTCTGTGCTTGCTGCAGCTGGAGTCGTAACTGAGCCACCTCCTGCACTGAGCCTATCGGGAGAAGAGCCACAGGAGACACTACAGGTGAGGGGACGAAGAGCCTACGCTCCCTAGGTTCAAACACTTCGAGTCCACTAAGGCTATGGAAGGTGGAGTTCTGCTTTGATCACCACCATCCTGTCAGCCACACAAAGATGCGGAGCCAGCAGGACCCAGAGGACTAGGTTGGTCCAGACACTTTTAGGATTGGGCATGGTTCCCCCATCTGTCCGCAAGGCACTGAGGACATGGGCTACAGTGACCTTGCTATGAACCCGTCAGCCACAGCTACAGACCTTACCACGCCAGAGGGTGGTAGTTAGATGATTGTATGTCCTGGTTAGGGCTGGAGTCAAACCTGTCAATCTCCTTGATGGGAGGAGAGTGTGAGACACTGGGACCTGCCCTCTCTCTGCCCCTTCACCTGCCTGCTGACGGGGACTCTGCCACTGACCCTGAGAGCGGTCAGTACCCTGCCATGTGTCCAGCGACCTTGGAGTCACTGGCTTTGCACCCACTGGCCTGGGAGGTTCCTGCATTCCACATCTCCTCTCCGCATCATTGCCTGTGACCCTGAGTCTGATGAGGGACTTGTGGACTAGTATCAGACTTACAGACTTAGATTAGACAGAGCTGGGATGCCTTCCTGATATTTAATTACTTCTTAGTATAAAGCTCTTTCGTATACATAGATGAGTGTCACTGGATGGGTTTCTCTAGACAGCCTAACATAACAGTCCCTCAGTAGAATAACAAAGAAAAATCAAGAAAGGATTGAAGTCATTTCTATCCACCCAAGTACGAAAACCGCAGCTTGCTGCTTCTAAAACGTTCTAAATGCTTTTCTTTCTATCACTCCAACCTCTACATGTGAAAGAAGCAGACCGGGGTTATGCTTGTGAAACGTTAGTGACCTAGTATTTTACACGTACGGAGGGAGGTTCCCACTTAAAAGGGACCTAATTAGGTTTCCTCAAAAGAAAATGACCAGCTGGGAAATGGTTCCACCAAGTAATGAGCGTACATTATGCAACTAAAAAAAGTAATCTTTGCAAGTCTTTAACGGCAAGGAAAAATGCTCACCAAATAATGCCATGTGGGGAGAAAAGAAGATTCACAGCAAAACAGGGATTAGGTGAGAATCTAATTTGCTGTGTCAACAGTCACCAAAAACACATCACTTTTTTTTTAAACATATACATAGTTGGGTACCAAAGGTTAAAGAGTGCTAATCTCCTACCAGACTATTTTAACGAGTGGAATATTAGAAAATTGTGAAAAGATGCTCCCCTCCCCCACCCATTACACGTATTATCTGTAATAACTTCACAGATTTATCTTAAAGTTTCTCATTAGTATTATTACACCATTCTTCTTGAGAGAAAAACTTAATGATAAATTTTGGTTAGTGATAAAATTGAGCTGATACGAAGCAGCAAAAAATAAACAAAAATAACTAGAGATGGCGTAGAGAATTAAACAGAGTATGATGCAAACTTAGCCAACCCCTCAGCCATTAAACCATTAGCATACACTTTCCCACGTGTCCACTCTTTCGTGCACTGCACTGCCACTCTGCTCTCGTGTACCGCGGTCTGAGCTCCAGTCTCAGTTCAGGAAAACCCGCTGAGCTAACTTCAGAGGAGGTGCTATGCCCCAGACAACAGGGCAGTTTTGTCTGTAGAGCAGAGCTCCTGCAAACTGATGATTCTCCTATTGCCTTTCTTTCTAATACAGTTACAGAAAAATGATTAAGCAAGAAATTGAGGTTGAGCCAAGTAACCAGAAGCATGAGTCAGTCACTCAATACCAGGGAGAGTGATTGCACAACTCAGATCAAACGCGATGTAACCATGGCAGTGTGTGTGTGG